AAAATAATATACCCCCCTTATTAACCCCCTCCTCCACACACATAAAATAATACACCCCCCCTTATTAACCCCTCCCCCACACACAAAATAATACACAACCCCCCCCACACCCCCTCACCTGTTCAAGTCTTTGCAGGGAGGAGGCTGTGAGCAGGATCGATCCCTAGTTATCTGGGGGCGAGGCCTGCAGCAGATCTCACTAATCACACCCAGATAACCAGGGATCGATCCTCACATACATTCTTTCTTTCGGCCGGAGCTCAGAACTGTCAGAGCACCGGCCGAAGGAAGCCAGAGCTGACGGGCAGCTCTGCGGTAGGCATCCGATGCAGAGCGTGGAGCTGCTCCCGCAAGTCAGGTACGTGGTCTGCAATCGTGTGCCTGACATGTCAGCTGTCTGCGGGTCGGATAGTACCGGCTCGCGGGCCGGAGTTGGCCTGCGGACCGGTACTTGGAGACCCAAATTTCCACTCGACCTCACTTTATTTTTACTCGCCAAAAGCGAGCAGGCGAGTGGAAGTTTTGAGCCCTGCCTTATAGTGTGGTTTTGTTTTGTTTTTTTACTCCTGTGTGTCTGAGTTTGGAGTTGAATTTGGAGCAGCAGTGATCATTGTATAGTTACATAGTATTTGAGGTTGAGTAAAGACACAGGTCCATCAAGTTCAACGTATTGTGTGTATGTATATTACAGTAGCCTGGTATTACTTACACTTCAGTATACAAGCGAAAACAGCCAACATGCTTGTCATTACAATTCTGTCATTATGAGTGCTGTCACTGTGCTAGTTGTAGGTATCATCAGTCTTGTGGATGTCCTGCCATTTCCATGAAGATACATTCTGCCGTGTTCTGCTCTTACGTTACCATTTTTTTTGGGCAGGATTGGCAGGAGCTCTGGGTAGATGATGCTATATGGCGCCTTCTCTTCTCCATGATCCTGTTTGTCATCATGATCCTTTGGAGGCCATCTGCAAATAATCAGAGGTTTGTAAGGCTGACCTGTTTTGTTCTTTTCAGACTTGACAGATACAGTAAAGCAGGATATGGATCATGAGGTGTTTGCAAGTAATAAAGCAGATTACTCAGACATGTGATGAGGAGCAAATAATAGCAAGCAAAAAAAACCTTTTGTGTTGGTCACAGAAAACCTTTTATTGTGCTAGAAGTTTTCTCCTATTCTGGTATATTTTTTGTGATTATACAGCCTTTAGAGGAGCTAATATGTGATTAGTGCAGGAATAGGAAGATTTTGGAATTTTCTTTTTGGCCTTGATGTAACAGCGCACAAAGTAAATTGTTTCCATTTTGTGCAAAATGTTTATTTACTTAGGAGTAAAGGCTGTTCACCCAGCAAAGTGAATGTTCTATTCTGTAAAGTGAATGTAATAAGGTGAAGCAGTGTTTACTCTGAATACCCGGTCATATGCTAGTAAAAAAACAAAAACATTCTCACTTGCATAAGATTCGGTATTCAAAGTAAATACAGGTATACCCTTTTTACTACATCTACACCTTCACTAATCCACCCCAATGTTTCCAATGTATGTAGAAATATATTTTTTTTTAATGTTTTTTTTTTTTTTCATAAAAATGAAAAGCGTGTTATAAAACATTTAAGTGCACTTTCACCCACAGCTCGAAGTTTGACCAGTTAAGCTGAAGTCAGCTTTAAGAACAGACTGCCCTTGTTAGGATCAGATAGTGAAAGTGTTGCAGTAGGTCTAAACACTGAGTCACTGCTGCTGGACCCTGATGCTGCCTGACTTCCAGCAGTGATTGGTATGTGGCTAATGACAAGAAAGGGAGATGTGCTTCAGAAGAATGAGGGAGGGGATAAGGAATGACAGCAGAGGAGACAGGAATTGAGGAGAGAGGAGATTGAGACCACCCGAGGGGACATTTGTTTGAAGAACAGGGGGTATCAGGCATTGATGGGAATGGAGAGAATAGGGAGCTGTGGGATGTGAAATTGGGGAGGAGAGAAGGGGGCTGTAGTATAGCTAAATTATGTAAAGGAGAAATGGGCCACTTGGCATTTTTTTTTTTTTTTTGCTGTGATGTTTTTCTCTCTCTGAACTGTGGTCCTGTTTACTATCGGCCACTTAAATTTACCCCTGGGTAATTTCAATCATGAGAATAGTAGTGAATGGAAAGTGTAGTCCAAGTGGGGCTGCCTTCTCAGTTTGTCACTCGTGTTTGGTAAATATAGTAAAGAAGATCTCCGGGCAAATGACATATTAATCCTTGCAGTAGCCCCTACCCCCCACTGCAAGGGTTAACTGCTTGTTTTGGTCTAGGGTCTAAAATTAAAAAAGATATTCTCACCTGATCCTTATTCCCTCCTTGCTGCTAGACCGGTCCTTGCAGCTTCTTTTTTCCCTGGGCTCCGCTGGTCTAAGCCCCTCTGATGGTCCTCATGTTTAATTCAAGTCTATTGACTTGCATGGGACATAAGGAAGCTGACGGACATTCCAGAAACGGTGGGGAGAGAGGTGAGCGATCACTGTAAGCCACTGTAAATTACAAAGGTTAAAAAAATAAGTTTAGAAGAGTTAGAGTTTTATTTTTATTTTTTTTTGCAAGCTTGAACAATTATCTGAGGTTTTTTTTTTCTTTTTCTTTAAGAAAACATAAGTCAGTATGAATTCTGAAGAGTATTAATGATCTTTATTACATCAGGGATTGAGGAGGTAGATGCAACCAGGGACTCCAAATATAGTCACAAAGTTGTGGATCGGCCTCTTATTTATATATTTGATTCTGTACAGAGGTAGAATTTGGTCAGTTAAAGTTTTTCAAGTTACCACGGTTAAGGGGAACGTTTTTCTTCCATTTTAAGAGGAAATACTGTATTTGAAAGGCAGAATGGAATTCATATGATGTGACCACCTCCGCTGCAGAGGCTGTGCAAGCATTACCTCTGGCCCGGGACTATCCAGTCTTGTATATTGACCACTGAAATTGTAGGTACTATAGATAAAAAAAATTAGCCTAAGATTAGTTGTAGTGTCTAAAGAGAGATTCTCAGGGTTTGATGTTTCCACATACAAGAGGGACAAATAGTATAAATCTGTTTAAAATATTTAGAGGGTATTGAACAGAGAGAATTAGCTAGATTGTAAAGGATTTTTTGGCAAGAAACACTTTTTTTTAATAGGGTGATCCTACCCATATTGAGAGGAAGGTCCATTCACTGTCTTGTTTTGGTAAGTAGGGTTTCAGTAAGGGGTGGAAGATTGTCGGGGTTGGCAAACATCAGGTGACTGCCTGCTGTTTACATTCAGCTGCAAGCCCAGCTACATGTAAACAGAATATCTGTTCCTGATATCGGTTATCGGCCTGAAAGGTTTGCCCATAATCGATATCGGTTCCGAAAAATTGATATCGATCAAACCCTTAATCCGCAGTGTTGTTGGAGTGATCAAGTTCCCGGAGGTTGGTGAAGATCTTGCAGGTTAGCAGGGAATCCTACTCGTGCATCTCCTCGAAATACTGTGCAAGACCGGCTTTTCGTTGTTGTTGTTTGCTTTTTTGTGTATTTCTGTATCCTGCAAGGTTCTGGCCCTGTGATTGTTAGTTTACACCTCCAGCAGATGAATGGTCTGTGCCACAGATATTAGCAGGACACAAAGCATATTCCACACAGCATTGCACTAGAGAGATGTTACAAGGAGTAAAGGAATCTTTGGAGTTAGGAATCATCCCTGAATTTGGGAGAAGACTTAATGTGACATGAAACCCTCAGATTTTTTAACATAAAACAATACTGTAATGTGTGCCTTACTGTAATCCATGGTAGTTTTCCTTCTCTTTGCTGCTCTTCCTTTTAAATCCGTATCTCTTCTCATGCTGGGGGAGAACTTCCTTTTGCAGCTGAGTGCCTCTTCCTGTAGTGCTGGCTCAGGTTGTGAACCTGCACACAGACACCATGTATCCATTTCAGAGACAAGGCAGTCTGCTGCAAAACAGAAGTTCTG